TTCATCCATACCTAGACCAAAGGACTTGATTTCTAGTTCCAGTGGAACTACCAGGAAGTTGTACCTGATTCAAATGAATCACCTGAGCTCAGAAGAAGCAGAAGACAAAGGAAAGCTAAATCATTTGGTAATGATTTTCAGCTTTACCTAGTTAAGGGTTCTAGAGATGAAATTACAAATCAATATTCATATTGTTTTAGTGTTGAAGAAGATCCTAAAACATTTGATGAATAAATGAAATCTCAAGATTTTTCTTTTTGGTAAGAAGAAATAAATGAAGAGACTGATTCCATCATGGGGAATAATACTTGGGTGTTGTCTGATATTCCTCTTGGATGCAAACCTTTGGGTTAGAAGTGGATATTCAAAAGGAAGACGAAAGTTGATGGATCAACTGACGAGTTTAAGGCTCGATTGGTTATTTAAGGTTTTAGAAAAAAACCTTGCATTGACTATTTTGACACTTATGCTCCAGATGCTTGTATATCTACCATTAGAATACTGATTTCCTTAGCAACAATTCATAATTTGGTGATTTAATAAATGGATGTTAAAACAACATTCTAAAATGGCGATTTAGAGGAAGAGGTATATATGAAACAACCTGAGGGTTTTATTATGCATGGAAAAGAGCATAAGATGTGAAAGTTGGTTAAATCATTATATTGGTTGAAGTAAGCATGAAAACAGTGGCATCCAAAGTTTAATGATGTTGTCTTGTCATATGCTTTCAAGTTGAATCAATCATACAAGTGTGTGTATATCAAATTTGATGAGTCTGGTAAAGAAGTGTTCATATGCTTGTATGTAAATGATATGCATTTTGGTACTGATCAAAGGCAAGTTGATACGACCAAATAGTTTTTATCATCTCAGTTCATCATAAAGGATATATAGGAGACATATGTGATTCTTGGAATAAGAATCAATCGTGAACATCAAGGAATCTTAATCTCACAGTCTTATTACATTGAGAAAATGATTAACAAGTTCAGTTGTTCTAATTGTTCTTCTGTGAGTACTCCTTTTGATTCAAGTATGAAACTTATGCCAAATTTTGGTGAAGCTGTTTCACAACTTGAGTATCAAAGATCATTGGGTGTTTGATATATAATATGACCAACACAAGGCCTGCTATAACGTTTATTGTAGGAAAACTAAGTAGGTTTACTAGTAATCCCAGTACTCATCAATGACACTCAGTAAGGAGAGTGCTGAAGTATCTTAAGAAAACCATGGACTTTGGTTTGAATTATGTAGGGTATCCTTCGGTTATTGAAGGATATTCAGATGCTAGTTGGATCACTGATGTTGAGGACCACTCTTCTACAAGTGTTGAATGTTTCTTCTTGGTGGAGGTGCCATTTCATGGGCTTTTAAGAAACAAACATGCATCACAAATTCAACTATGGAATCTGAATTTATAGCCCTTGCATCTACTGGAAAAGAAGCATAATGGTTAAGGAATTTGATCTATGAAATTCCTTTGAGGCCAAAGCCCATATCACTTATTTCTATACACAATGATAGTGCTACCACCCTGGCAAAAACATAAAATCAATTTTATAATGGAAAGTCGCAACATTTGGGTGTTAGGCACATCATGGTACGTGAGCTCATTACTCATGGTATCATTTCTGTTGAGTTTGTTCGATCTCAACATAATTTAGTTGATCACTTGACGAAAGGGTTAACTAGAGACTCGGTAAAGAAGTCTGTTGTGGGGATGGGTTTTAGGCCCACTTTATATCTCTATGGATGAGATACCCAATTCCTTTATAATATAGGGTTAGAAGTTGAATTCAACATGGAAAGCTTGCTTATGGGTATTGATGCACATTTATTTTACTACATCCCAAGTTATGTGCTTATAACATGTAGAGTTAAAATAGGTTTCTTAAGTTTTTAATAGTTCTTTTGACAAAGTGCATTAACAGGTAAAAGGACTACCTATGCGAGTGTGAAGTGTTTTCGCTTCAGAAAGCGTGGGTAGGATTTTATGTACAATGGACTGACACATGGTTATAATAATGTCAAGTATGAAACAATAGATATTGTGTTTAATTTATATGTATAGTATCTTCAGCTACTTAAATAAGTTGAAGGGTTCAATCCTTAAGATACCTTGATTTTCAAGTAGTTGAAATGTGGATTGTACTAATGTGAAAATTTAATCTTCAAAATATTTTCAGTTATTCATGAGTTCGTTTTTGCGTCTTCTTTTAGTTAATTAAGGATTACACTAAAATAGGGGGAGAAATGCTAGTGCTTTTAATGCTATCAACATGTTTTAGTGTAGTTGTTATTAATATTGAGATATACTGACGTATATTTTCACTCACTCAGATTGGAGGTGCGGGGTGCATACTTGGAGTGATTAGTATGAGCTCGGGATATGAGGCCCGAGGGTAGTGTCCCTAGATACGGGGTTCCAAGGGGCAGCGCCCCTAGCAGGGTCCAAGGAGTAGAGCCCTGGCTTGGAGCATCGCCCCGACACCTAAATGAATTTTTATATTGGTTATGACTCCAGCCATGCATATTCTCTCCAAAACTCACTTGATGACATCAAGATGATTGATGTCTTGATCATATCTAATACCTACCTGTTTTGGCGCCAAATCTACATGCAACCACCAATAACTACCTTTCTCTCTTGTATAAGAACATGTTTTTTGTTCCAAAAAAGGGTTACACACGTATACTGGAAATCTGTTCATTAAGGTTTTCTCTATCTCTCAAGAACACATCAAGTAAGGCCCCGTTTGATAGTTACTGACTGAGAAAGTGTTGATTGGGAAAGGTCTGTCTGAGTAAGAAATCCTGACTGAGTAAGAAATCATGTTGTTTGATTGTACATCTGACTGAATGTGCTGAGTCATGAAAAATGACAATTTTATCCTGTTGTTATATACAATGATAGATTAAGTTGCTGAATAATTATAAAAATGTACATATTGTCATAACATTAGACCAAGAACAATTTTTTATTACAAAACCAATTTTTGATTTCTAATTTCACAAAAAGGGAAACAACTCAAAACAATAATAGCAATCTACTACGATAGAGTTACAGTCGTTTCAACATCAAATTATTGTTCAAGGTGATTGGGAACGTGATAGTAGGAGGCTGAAAACGTGAACAGTGATGTTGTCGTTTCTATACCATGGTTTTTATTCCCAAACTGCCCCAAGAATGATTCCTTTGAATGGTTGGAATTATTGTTCTTGTTCATTCCTTCTTTATCTATATTTTCTAAAGATACATGTAATTAATTTTTAATTCCAATTTCAGATTTATTAGAGTTAGATTAATTGGTTTGAGATAGTTGCTGAAACTTTGAATTTAATAAGTTTCATGTTTTTTATTTTTGTTTTAGTTAATAGGTGATTTTCTTGAATTGATATTTGGGTGGACCGGATTTTATGGTGGTGTATTTGGTCATTAGCCTGGTCATTATCTAGAATTGATATTTGGGTTCATTCCTTGTTGAGGAGGAGTACGTAGCATGGCTTCAATTCATGATTCACATGGATATTTTGAAGCCTATATATAGGCTTTAGTGATAATGAATAAAGTAGCATTTTTCTTTTTCCTTACTTTCAGTATAATAAATATTCAATTCATGTGACCAGAAAGTTTCTTTTCTTCTTCTTCTTGTCATCGAATTTGAGTATTGAACAAGAACAAACTCTTATTTTATTTTTTATATTTAACAAATTCTAATTTTATGGATTATACATCAGATTGCATAACATCAAAGATAACCGATTATGATTTCAAACATTATTAGCATAAAAGGAGAAGAATTACCAGTTTTTGATGAATAGTGAATGACAGGGAAAGTGAGAGAAATTGATCGGAGATGGCGACTTCTCTTTAGCCGGCGAGATGGTGGCGAGACGGCAGCTAGATGACGGCGACTAGCGAGATGAACAGTGACCTGTCGATGGAGGAGGCGGCGATTTTTGTGCGCTGCATTTTTTTAGGTTACGATTGAAGAGGGTAACGAGGGAAGAAAGAAACAGAGGGGTAGGAGTGTCCTTGTTCCCAGTCAGCATATGTTACAAAGCTGACTGGGAAAGACATTTGGGCCAGACGACTGACCGAGAAAGCGTATCATCAAACAGCCAATGTCTGATTGAGTCAGCTCATATGTATTACTCAGATCCAGTCAGACAATATCAAACACAGCCTAAGGTATTATGTGTTTCACAATCCAAATTAGACCTATAGTTTAGATTGGTTAATTCTTAGATTATACAACTTTTGAATTCATGTACCCCAGACAAAAGTGACGAATTTCAGATTTCAAAAAGTATTTGAAAACACGATCCTTGAATCTATCCAATTTGTTTTTATTGTTATTTTTTATTCCCTACAACTAGCTTTCCCTCTTGTATAAGAACATGTTTTTTGTTCTAGAAAAAGGATTACAAACATATAATTGAAATATGTTCATTAAGGTTTTCTGTATCTTTCAAGAACACATCAAGCAAGGTATTCTGTGTTTCACAATCCGAACACATCAAATAAGGTTTTCTCTAAAATTTAACATGCGATCAGTATAAATTCAATGGACGAGACCGGTTCTATAGTTCCTTAAAAATTTATGGTCCCTTACTAAACTTATATATATATATATATATATATATATATATATATATATATATATATATATATATATATATATATATATATATATATATATATATATAGGAGTAGGATCAAATGAGAACACCTAAAAAGTTGAGAACGCGAGAACAGATCTGGGCCATTTAAATATTTAGATCTAAGGTTATTATTAAACGGACGATTTATGAAAAATTCTAAAACTACGGGCATTAAATTGTAACTTTTAAATTGCCAGAAGGGCATAATAGGAACTGCAAATTTACATATTCCCTACAATTTCTCACCCTCTCTCCTCTTTCCGTTCATAATCATGTATCTTTATCTCCTTCGCTCTCTCTTTAGGGTTTCAAAATAAACGACTCTCTCAATGAATTCGGTTCCCTTTTCTTCCCTCTCTTCCCATCGATCGATCCACTGCCGTCTTACCCCAACTTTAGGTTTGAATCCACGTATCAAATCAGCGACATTGGATTCTAGTTCCACAACAATCCTCGACGATCCGACATCGGCTTCCGCTTCAGAAGAAGAAAGTCCAGCGAAGATCCAGCAAAGATCGGCGCTAGGGTTAGCGTAAACAGCCAAGGCATCAGTTCTTTATGTTATTTCGTTCAAGACATCAGTTTATGTTATTTCGTCTCCGTGGTCGACGAGGCTGGAGAGGAGGAAACGAGGAGGCAGCGAGGGGTGGGTTGTGGGTCTCGGTGGATCGAAGATGGGGCATCTTTGGTGATTGTTGGATCAAAGAGAAGAAGAAAATAGAATGGAAGCAGCGGGATGTGGGGTCTGCAATTGGTTTCCACCTCCGGTGATAAAAGCCCCGATATTGGGTTGTTTGGTGATTGAGAAGGGCAGCAACGATTCAAAAATAGGTAAGGGCTTCTTTTTTTTTATTCTTGTTTGATTTGGCAGAACTCAATAGGCTATTTTTTTGTTCTTGTTTGATTTGGCAGAACTCGATAGGCTGAAGTGGGTCTTTGAAGGCTCAAGTGGCAGCCCTTACAATTGATGGAAGAGATAGCCACACAATGTTGTAATTAGATTCAAGGTAAAAGGTTGTGCACATAAGCTGTTTGATGATATGCGTGAGAGGGGTAATCATTTATGAATAGCAGGGTATTCGTTTGCTAATAACAATGTATTCATTTGTAAATAGCAGTGTAATCATGTGTGAATGAGTGTATTTTATTTATGATTAGAGGTATTGTTTTATTCATTTGTGAATACTAGGGTATTCATTTGTTAATTACAATGTATTCATTTGTAAATAGCAATGTAATCATGTGTAAATAAGTGTATTTATTTATGATTAAAGGTACTCTTTCATGAAGAAATGATAATTTTTACACCCCCTTTTTTTTTAGTTAATTAAAAGAAAGGAAGTGGATTACTTGTAAATTGATATGTATTCATTTGTGATTGCAGTACTATTAGTTTTTTTGAAAAAAAAATCGTTTATGAATACAAATGTATTGATTTGGAGTTGGATTTCTATTAATTTAAAAAAAAAAAAACGTGAAATATGAGAAAAAAAAATTAAGAGAAAAAGTTAAATTTTTTTAGTTTTAATTTTTTTTTTGGTAAAAATATTTTATATATTTCATTAATACGAAAAATAAAAAATCAAATATCTCCTTTTTTGGTAACTGATCCTAAATTTAAGGAAATTTGATTGATTTTATTTTATTTTAATTTAATTAAAATATACAATTATTTATATGCCCTTATATATTAATTGGTCCAAAACTGTTGTCGCGTTCTCAACCTTTTAGGTGTTCTTATTTGATCATTTCCATATATATATATATATATATATATATATATATATATATATATATATATATATATATATATATATATATATATATATATATATATATATCATAACTGCTTTTTACGATACAGATCACCAAAGTTAGAGCATAATCATATCCAATAAAAACCGGTCACCAATGTTGTTGATGTGGCTTTCATGTCATGTGCTTAGCTTTTCTTTAAATTAAAAATGGGCCATCCACTTTCTTTCCCTTTCTCCTTCCTACCCACTGTACTAGAGAGCCTATCCTCATCTTCTGGGCAACTACTACATTTCTTTGTTATTCTCAAATCCATATCAAGCCATAAACACTGCACACACACAAACTATTCGTGCCATTTAACTAGAATGGTGAAACAAAATAAATATTAAAATATATATAATATAAAACGGAAAATAATGAAGGAAACCATTAATCTGAGCTCACGAACACCAGCAGTTGGAATCTTAGGAGTCACTTTTTTCACGGTAACTTTGATATGTCCATGTCTACCTTTTACTTTATTAGATGCTTTGTGTATGATATAAATGGAAGTAAGCTTTGATTTCAAACGTTGATAATGGCTTTGGGGTGATTGAAGGGCCACCATGAAAGGAAGAGAAATGGATAAGGGGCAATGAAAAGTTGACATTCTTGTCATGTTCGCCGGAAAAACAGGGGGGGAAAGGTTACTGGTAAAGTGGAGAAGAACGTAGTTAGTAGGTCCCTTTTAGATAACAATTACCCCATCACTTTTCTTCTTAAACGTGTTGCGATGATTTTGTAAGTTTCAAGATAGCAAATAATTTTTGTACCAATATAGGAAACGTGTAATAACTTATTGTTACAGAATTTTAACAGTGTTTTAAAGTTTTTTAGTGAATATTTATTTTAAAGACTATATTACTGTTTTAAGAGAGTATATTACTGTTTTGGTCCATATGGTTGGCACCAATTTGCGGTTTTGGCCCATCTTTTTAAAGATCGACAAGCTACCTCCGATGCAACGATATATTTTGGCTTTGTTGTAGATTGTGTAATTGGGCTCTGCTTTGAGCTGTATCAATCGGTTGTGCATTCATTCATGACAAAGATGTAACCTTATTGTGAGAATCATCTCGACCCGTTTCGGTACTAGTATTAGTGTAACATTTCACATTCTGCTCACTTGTCCGGTTTATGCTAAAAGTGACTCGTTATGCTTAAAGTCAATAAGACGTCAGGTCTAGTACATAACATGATAATATGATGGATCCAATAGTCAATGAATATAACATATTGAAACTTGTTCAAAACAATACCATGCTACATTGGCAATGTCTCATGCTTGGAATCACACATCTTTAATCACTTTAAAATCTTATCAATGTATATACTTTGACTAAGACCAATAAGTCACCTTGATTTATACTACAATATTCATTTTGAGTAAATATGTTGTGTATCCTAATGAGGAATATGTCATTCACATATAAAACTAGGAATATACTAACACTCCGACTCAAATTATTGTACACAAAGGGCTTATCCATTTTTTAATCAAAACCAAACTCTTTAATTTTCTGGTCAAAATGCATATTCTATCTCCTAGATGTTAACTTTATATATATATATATATATATATATATATATATATATATATATATATATATATATATATATATATATATATATATATATATATATATATATATCAAGGATGTAAAAATTGTTCGATAGTAGCTCGACGATTGATTCTGGTTAAGAGATTAATCGGGGACCATAAATTGTTAATAAAATATTAAAATTAATCAAAGTTTAATATATCGTAAGAAAAACAAGCAATTCAAACTTAGAAAATAAGAAATTTTGTAATTTGAAAATACGAAAATCTAAACATTTTGGTATAATATTTTAAAATTTGAAAAATTTGGCGTAAAAAAAGTTGATTTTTTTGAATTTTTTTTGACTTTTTTTAAACTTTTTTGAATCTTTTTACTTTTGTTGAGCTTTGTTGACTGATTAATCTCGCCAAACCCGATTAATCTCTAATTTTCGTCAAGCACCCCTGATCCTAGTCGGTTGGAGAATGTTAAGCGATTAATCCACAACTAATCCCGATTTCTGCAACATTGATATATATATATATATATATATATATATATATATATATATATATATATATATATATATATATATATATAGAAAGAGAGAGAGAGAGAGAGTGTGTGTGTGTGTGTGTTAGGATCATATGTATCCTAACAAGTATTGTGTAAATGTATAGCTAATTCTCAACCATTCATTTGATAAGGGCATAATTGTAATTTAATATATAAATAAATCAATTAAGTTTAGGGATATCTTTAAAAAAATCCCGATATTTTGGGCAAATTTTTAATAAAGTTCTAAATTTTATCTTTTGAATAAAAAAGTCCTGACTTTTTCACATTTTGAATAAAAAAGCCCAAGAAACCGGCTAATTTATTCACTTTAGTCCTTTTTGACCTGTTCAGCAGGTCATGGGACCAAATTGTTAATTTTTCAAAAATAAAGGGATTTTTTTGCAGATTTCATCAAAAATTTTATATAATGTATAAACATATTTTTTACATATCTTATCTATTTTTACGTATTTTTGTATTTTTTTATATTTTTATAAGTATATATTTACGTATTTTTATGTATTTAAAATGTATAAACATATATATTTTTTTTTACTTATTTATATGTATTTATAACCATTTTACATATTTTTATGTGTTATTTTTTTATATATTATGTATTTATATGTATTTTTATATAGTTTTACGTATTTATGTATTTTTTAAAGCTTTTTATATAGATGTTTATGTATTTTAAGTGTATAAACGTATTTTTTACGTATTTATATCTATTTTTAAGTATTTTACATATCTTTTATATATTAAGTATTTATATATTTTTTTTAAAGTTTTTTATATAGATATTTTTGTATATTTATGTATTTTAAATGTATAAACATATTGTTTTACGTATTTATATGTATTTTTAAGTACTTTACATATATTCTTTTGTGTGTTTTTATGTGTTTTTTTATGTATTATGTTTTTTTTATATATTTTTGGCGTATTTATGTATTCTTTTAGTTTTCTTATATAGATGTTTATATATTTTTATGTAGATTAAATGTTAAAGTGTATTATTTTTACATAAAAAATATATAAACACGTAAAAATAATACAATTAAGCATTTAATATACATAAAAATACATAAAAATCTATATAAGAAAACTAAAAGAATACATAAATACGCAAAAATACATATAAATACATACTACATAAAAAAACACAAAAAATATGTAAAATAGTTTAAAAAAAATACATATAAATACGTAAAACAATACGTCTATACATTTAAAATACATAAATATACAAAAACATCTATATAAAACACTTAAAAGAATACATAAATATGTAATACATAAAAAATATGTAAAATACTAAAAAATAGATGTAAATACGTAAAAAATACGTTTGTACATTTAAAATACATAAACATCTATATAAAAAGCTTAAAAAATACATAAATACGTAAAAATACATAATACATATAAATACATAATACATAAAAAATTACACATAAAAAAGGATAAAAAAAATATGTAAAATTGTTTAAAATACATATAAATAAGTAAAAAAAATACGTTTATACATTTTAAATACATAAAAATACGTAAATATATACATATAAAAACATAATAAATACACAAATACGTAAAATTTGATATAGATATGTAAAAAAATATGTTTATACATTATATAAAATTTTTGACGAAATCTACAAAAAAATCTCGTTATTTTCGAAAAATTAACAATTTGGTTCCATGACCTGCTGAACAGGTCAAAAAGGGCTAAAATGAATAAATTAGCCGGTTTCTTGGGCTTTTCTATTCAAAATGAGAAAAAGTCAGGATTTTTTTATTCAAAAAATAAACTTTAGAACTTTAGTAAAAATTTGCCCAAAATATCGAGACTTTTTTGGAGATATCCCTTAAATTTAAATCAAAGCTACGAATTAGGATACTATTTATTTTTACTTATATGATCGATACTCTCACATTTTTAGGGCTCCATCAGCATCCCTCCTCTTCTTCAGATTTTTTTCTTCAACTTAACATATTCACTTCAACATACCTACATTAATTGAGGAAGCAAAGGAGAATGAACGACATCTCTTGCCTTCGACTTGCACTCTCCACCGACGAACAACAACATCATCTGACCACCTGCCTCGTCATCTTCTTTTCATTACGATGATTGTGTGTTGCATGGCTCAAAAATCAATTTGGGTTTTTGAACAAAACATAAATTTCATGACTATTGCGACATCCCCAAAATCACGGTCAGAAAAGACCGGTTTCATTTATGTTTTTAAAATAATTTCAAAGTAAATCCTTTTGATTTAAAAGAGTTGCG